CAGTCTAATTGACTTGGAATATGTGAAAAATATAAGGAGCAAAATTCGTAATGTAGAATATGACGTAGTATATTTGCACGAATTAATATTGATTAAACTGGAATATTGAGATACATGGACACGGCTGTTGCGACCACATGCTTGTAATTTACAAGTGAATCTCGGTCTGCTCGAAAAAAGTTGCTCGGTGACAATAGTTTTCGGTTACCATAAAAGAGGCATATCACTGAAATGGATGGAAAAGGAGAGAGAAATTCGTACAAAAAACGCGAGGCCTCTTGCAAAAAAAAGTACAAAAGGGAAAGTTTTTTACGAAGCTCTTTTGAAATATAACCGATCGAAGAAGCGGGTTTTTTTTACAAGTTACGAGTCCACAAACGGAGGAGGATAATGAGATCTTATTTTTCGTTTAATTCGAAGACTTCGAAGAGAATTTCAAGGGAGAATTTTGTTTAATATATTTAATATCTACGAATATATATAACGTTTTCAAAGATAAAGAAAGTATAAGAGATAACGTCTTGTGCAACTTTTGTCAAGGAGAAATCAGTTTCATATCGGATTATTCGTATCGTTTTTCAACATTCTAAATAACGACTATACGTGAGTGATTCATCATTGCGTTCGTTTCTTTAAAAAAATAAAATAAAAAGAGACTCGTTTTAGCATACGCTATCCTCCATCACTATCCAATACGAGTATAAATCTCATTTTTATTCTTTTTGAATTACCTTGCTTCCATATGTTCGCTGAACTGTCAAAGATTAAAATGGCACGAAAACAGATAACGCTTTTGGCAAAATTTTCGTTAAGGAGAAACCAATTTGATATCGGATTGCTCGTATTGTCTCTCAATGTTAAACGACAACCGCGTATGTAAAGGATTTATCATTGTTAAATTTCTTTAAAAGTTCTTAAAAATATTAAAACGATCTTCAGCTTTCACTGTTCTATTTGTACCAAAGACGCGTCTCAATTTCGTTTCTATTCTTAATGCTTTTATTCTCCCGATATATTAGGTATATCTCACTTTCTCAGGGTAATATTACATTATCGTACGACAAATTTTTTAAGCGTATTGACTATAAAACAGAGACTCTCTTGAAAGCTTTTCTGTCTTACAGCCAATGAATACCCGTGACAAATTTACCGTACAACTTATTATTTATTACATAAATTGGATATATGTAATATTACCCTTAAACGTTCGGAAATTGTCACCTACGAAACTATATACACTACGAAATTTTTAGTATTTTAATTCAATGAATAGTCGTTACAGCCCCTACTCAATTGTCGTTAACTTAGTTAAACAACGGAGTTAAAAAAGTCATTCAATGAATTGAATAAGAGATGTGGTTGTTCGTTAAACTACAATTTATGTTAAAGTAATAAATTTCACACTGCACATAATAGTTAAAAATAACAACATATTGAGTAGGAGGAGTGGCGACTCTCCTACTTATTGAACTGAAAAGGCCAAGTTCGACTGTTGGCGGAGTTACATTGTATCCACAAAGAGCCACTGAAATGCAATTCGCTGGGCGAGAGGTAAAGCGAGGAATATCTCTCGGACTTTCTATGCGCTTATACATTTTGTTTAGATTATATTCGTGATTGATAACTTCTAGTTTCGACTACGCTACAAATTTAACAATGTACAATTGTGTACGGGTGTCCACAGTGTGTCGAGCTTAGGTCCGTAGATTCGCTAACAAGCCCGTGCAAATCAGTCATCCCTGCGGAATCGTATCTTTTCTATTGGTAAAAAAATTTTCCTTTGCATTTCGTTATATAATTTTGCCTATTGGTAAAAAATGCTGCCTTTAGGGACGAGCCTGCGGCATCGCATCATCACGCACGATCGGTGTCGCATAATACCTTCCCGTATGAATTTAGGCGCGTGTAGAACACATTTTTCATGTAAGGGAGAGTTGCCGAATGCGTACTAGTCATCTAATGCGTCACCTAATGCATCATCAATATTTCATATTGTTACTTAATATAAGCAACATTTAGTAATAACAATATGAAATCAATGAAAAGTAATACAGACACAAAATTAACACATACATCTTATTTTGTGAATGCTAACAGCATTTAAAGAATTCAGGTATAACTGATGTTAATTTTTCACCAATTTATATAGCTGATTATAATGTCTACTATGTCATTTTATTATAAATTGCAATTTTTTTCATAAAAGAAGGTTTATTGTAGAATATTTAACATTTATTGCATATACACTTTTACAATTATTATAAGTTCACAGGAAATTATTATAAGGATTAAATAAATATAATATTTTTACAAAATCGATTAAGTTTCGTAAACCGTACCACCATAAGGTTTGCTATCTCGTACCGGTACGATTTTATAAATAATAATCGATATATTAAGAGTGATACATTTAATATAAATATATATGTAAATTGTATTTTAACGTCCTTTCCATTATCATTAATTATTATTTTTAACTCCAAACTAAATTTTTTGTCGCCAGTAATATAAAACAAATGATATAGTCTTTAACGACATACACTGGCCAGTGTAGGTCGTTAAAGACTATATCATTTATTATTTTTAAATTATTAAATATTTGACTTTTTTGAGATTTAAGAAACGAGTTTCCTGTCGTACCTGTGCAACATATTACAAAAAGACTTATAACAAATTAATTTATTATTAGGGAACCGTTAAACATGCAATAATAGTTGTCTGAAACATCAACCTACAAATTCCAATGGTTGTTTGCGTGTAAATCAGCACCGAGTGAGATATATAGGGTGTTATATAATAGCCGCCTTACCTCTTATTTACGGATAGAACGGATTAGATTGAGTCGAAAAGTCCTCTACCATTTTGCAATTTTCGCAATAGTTAACAAGTATATTAATTATTAAAAATCGCTATCTTAGCCCGGTCTATCGCTCAATTCAAGCTCACAGCGAGATGCGGCCGTCCCGCGTTCGGCGTTGCTAGGCGCGCGGGGAGTTGTTTTTTAAACGCATAGACTTATATATATTTATAGACTGCGCCTTCATACAGGCTGAGCTGAAATCAAGATCTGAAGGACAGAGATAGTCAGTCCGGTATGCTTTCTCTCCCGTACATGTAAAGAGAAGGGAATGGCTCGCTCCTAACTTCGTCCCCCTCCGAATGCGTTCATCAAGTCTTCACCAACTCTCGTATTAGAAAGAGACAACATCTCGGACTTTGTTGCTCTCTCTTTCTACGTGTAGTATTCAGCGCCTCTTCCGGAGACGTTCAGTCCATTATATAAGTCTATGATTATACGTAGCCCTTGCCCTGTGTCACAAACAATTCCCCGCGCGCCTAGCAACGCCGAACGCGGGACGGCCGCATCTCGCCGCGAGCTTGAATTGAGCGGTAGGCCAGACCACGGTCTTATACACAGGTCGGGACACTCCTATACCGGCTACATGCTTTCAAGTGTGCTCAAAGTGACGCCAATATGGCGGTCAGCTCAGGCCTAAAGGTGCAATTTCACGTTACTTTTCGACGTAGTGGGGGAAAAAGTTGACAGAAAAATTTTTATGATGTATATTTAAATGTCTGTCAACTTTTTCCCCCACTACGTCGAAAAGTCACGTGAAATTGCACCTTTAGGCCTGAGCTGACCGCCATATTGGCGTCATTTCGAGCACGCTTTATTCCACGAGTGTCCCGACCTGTGTATAAGACCGTGGGCCAGACTAAGACAGCGATTTTTAATAATTAATAACTCGTTAACCATTGCGAAAATTGCAAAATGGCAGAGGACTTTTCGACCCAGTCTAGTCCGCTCTGTTCGTAAATAAAAGGCGAGGGGGGTGTTACATAACACCCTGCATAACAAATAATTCTTTAAGTGGCACGCATTCGGCAACTCTCCCCTATGTATATGCAAGATGTATAAATACGTTGATACGTGCACAGATTCACGTGGGAAGGCATCAGTGGTTCCTAGTGTACAGCGATGGACCGAATGGTTGCGACCCTGTCTTTTTCAATTTAAATTTAGGAACAAGCATTTAGATTCAGGCTTACGTTCCAAAACATTTTCTCCGAGGAAAATTTTACTCGAGAAACAGATCGACAACGCTCAAAATAGTTTCGGAATAGCCATAGAGTTTTAATTTGTATTAAGAACTGTTACAACGCCACGTGCTTGTATCTCGTTTAACACCTCGTTTACGTTTTTGTTTACCTACACGAGTTTTGCATGGGCGATCGGTGATTGGTGCAATTACCTACTCTGCAATCAGCAGTTTATTGCAGCTGAAAGATGTACCGACCATACCGTTAATACGCGATAACGAGCCAAGAGACATCACCCTCGATGAACACTCGAAGAACACACCGAGGATCGTATTTATATATCGCGCGGATATAGCGGCTGGAAATTAAACTCACGGACAGAAATGTGGAAGCAACTTAAACGATGCAATTAACGCAGATTAAGAAAAAACATACCGCCCTTTAATTTGCCATTTTGCCGTTTTACCTTCTATCGAAGACAGTCGGACTGTTCATAGCTCGGGCCTCAGGCCGTGGCGCCTCGCGCGCGCGCGAGCTCGGTCGCCCGAATATCTCGATAATAATATCGTAAGCATCCCTCGGAGATCCGGACGCGTCCGTGATTCGCGCGGCCCCAACTCCGACGGTGGTGGGATACACACGTACAGAGAGATAGAGAGAGAGAGATCGCGCGGCGTAGGAGCGGGCTAGGGTGGCGTTCTCTCCTCTCCGGCGCGGCCGGGTCAAGGGGCGACGGGGAGGAGGGACAGGCAGGGCGGCGGACGGGGAGGGATGGCGCGCGGCGCTCACGCCGTGGTGGGGCCGGCGCGGCAGGGGAAACGTAACACGCGGGTTGTCGAGAGAGCGAGAGAGCGAGAGAGCGGCAGGCAGGCAGGGGTAACGGCCACCACGGTCGGTAGGGGTGGCGGTAGATCCCTCGAAAGTCCGACGGTGCTTCTCTCTCTCCACTCTCAGTCCCGAGAGCGGAGCCAGAGAGGCAGGAGAGCGCGACGCGCACTCGAAGCTCGCTCGCTCCGTTGTCGTGCACCGCGCGCGGCCCGTCGCGTTTCGTTCGTCCACGGTGCGTGACGTCCCCGCGACTTTCGCACACGCCGTCCGTTGCGACGCGGGTAAGCGAGACGCCGAGGGGTGTTGTGGAATCTGCGCCGCGATACTCAGTGCGTCGAATGATGCTCGTTCTTGCCGCTGTGCTGTGAAAGAGAGAAAAAGAGATCCTGCGAAAGAGCAGCGAGGATTGCAGTTCGCTCGCGCTGTCTCCCGGTGAGAAAAAGAGAGAGAGAGAGGACGACGCGGACGGCTTTGGAGCAGTTGCCCGCGTGTGTTTTCGTAAAACGAGGGGCGGGCCGTGACCAACGGTTGCTGGGGAGCGTCGGAGGAGTTTTCTGAATTCTCCCAATGCCGCAAATGCCGTAGCGATTGACAACCGAGAACTCGACACCGAGGAGAGAATACCGGAGGGAAAGAGCTCGTCGTCGATCGGCCTGGCGGCTGCACCGAGCATCCGAATCGCGCGAATCCTCGCGAGGGCTCGCTCGTCGCAAGAGGGACGGTGCTCTCGATGGCAACGCGCGAGAATCGCACGAGAATCGCGCGAGAGATCGATCGTCACGTGCTCGAGACGGCAGTCGGAATTCGCGTGCCGATCGCGGAGGCCCGTCACGTGCCGAAAGAGGGTTGCGGGTCGTGGCCTCTCCTCGTCGGAGCCCTCGATTATCCTCGCGCTCGCCCGCCTCGCGGATGCGCTTCGATTTTCGTGTCGCGCGCGCGCGAGTGAGAGAGAGAGAGAGAGAGAGAATTTCGCGATCCGCGTTTTATTTTTTTACCTTTCTATTTTTTTTAATCTACCTCCATCACGGGGCGTTTCAGCGCGCGCTTTCGAAACACGACGACCGGCCTGCCGACGATGCTCTCGACGCGTTCGCGCCACACGCGGATTGCATTTCGTCCTCCTCTGTCCGACCCTTGGCTCTTCCCTTCCCCTCCGCCCCGCTCTTTCCCTCTTTCCGAAAAAGAGAGCGCGCGCGAGTTTGTGATTTGACGTGAATGGGATTTACGGGCGAAGTGATAGCTCGCTGCCCGTGACGTGCAGCTCGTCCTTAAAATAAACGTCGATGATACATGCACGTTGTCGAGAGATTCCCGTCTCTCCCGGCCCTTTTCCCGAACGTCATTTCGACCCCCGGCTGCGCCCGGCGGGGTGGGCAGGGTGTGCGCGAGAGAGAGAGAGACACGGGCCCCGCGTCACGTCGCGTCACGTCGCCCCGCGTCGTCGGCCTGCTTGTACACGGGGACAATCGTAGCGCAGGAACAACACGCGAGTAGACGAGAGCGGTTCAAGGGTCGTCGGGGACAAAGCGGCCGCGCCATGCATATGCACGAGGGACTTTGTGTACCCGGTTTGCGGGGCCGGTGATTACAGGTGGGAATAAACCGATACCGAGATACCGTGGGAGGCTGCCGCCTAAATACGCGTCGTGACCCACTTCCGCAAGTTTCGGACACGGCGAGGTCCTCTCGGTTTGTCTCTCTCTCTCTCGCTCGCTTGCTCGTCTCGTAATACGAAATATCAACATTTACACATCGGAACGCGCGCGCGCGCGCAAGGGCGACGACGGAAGTTGGGAGACGTTAATTTTACGGATGGCGCAAATGGAAATATACCGCGCGAACTTTCGGAGCGAATAACGCGCTCCGTCATCCGTCGTTACGGAATATAGGTTTCGGAGGCGCGCCGAAAAATATTCGCTCCTCGCGGGAGACCGCGAGACTCCGCGGAGAGGAAAGGAAGCTGGAAGAAGAAAACCACACGGTTCGGGTTCGTAACGCGATCGAGACTACTACTTACTGCCGCCGCTCCCGTTGTCCCGCGCAATAATATCGCGGCCTCTCGACTGCACCGTTTCGCCCCGCCCGCGCGTACACCCCGAGCGTCCCGATATTATTTCGAGCGTATATTACCGCGAATATTAAGAACGGCAATTTACGGCCGGCTTTTTTTAATATTCCAGGCACCACGCGGGGCGCGTTTCGGTGTATCAATCCCGCGACCCGCCCGGGACGATCAATTTAAAGGGCCGTCCGTTTGCGCGCGAGGTGATTTATGCCCGCGCCCCGGCGCTCGAGCGGCTCGCCCGCCCGCTCGCGATCCGGCGGCCGGCGCGAAATTATCCGAGCTATCTCAATTAGCCGCGTAAATCATCACTCGATTCGAAAAAGGCGAACGTTAAATGATTCGCGACGCGTCCGCACTTTTGTCGAGAATCGCGAGATTTCGGACGGGGTGTGGGGGGCATCCCGGGAAATCCCATAAAGACCGCGGGTCGGTTAACCGTCGCAACGCACTGTCAAATACAATGGCGGTCCGCGGGGCATTACATATACACGCACGCGTGCGCCACGCAATTGGCATAAGTGGCGCGTCGACGAAGCGAACAATTGTTCACGTTCTTTTCTTTTATAAGTGGCGAAATATCGACGAGACTGTCGGGCGATGCTCCCTTGAAACTCATCGCGCTCGCTGCGGCAACGCGAGAGCGGACGCGCAAACCAACGGGGATCTAAATCCGGCCGAGCAAAACACGTTACGGGGAACGAGCGGCGCGACGAGCTCTTTCTTCGCTCCGAGCCGGAATTCATCCGGCGATTTGAGTCACGTCGCTTACAACGGGCGCTTTAGTGCCCGAAGTTTAACGATTCCCTTACGGCGACATCGCGCCCGGGGGGATTGCACCCGGGTTCTTCTAAAATCCGATAATCGGGGGTTGTGAATCGATAATTCGGCGGTGGTGAACCGAGCCGGCCCGCTCCTCGGGGAGGGAAACGCTACCGTCGTCGCGCGATCTCGTCCGCGCGGGAGATCGGCGGCGGATCGCGTCGGGAAGTCGGGGGGCGATTTCCTGACGCGGAGCGTCGCTCGCAAAATTGCAGATTCCCCGATCGACGTTCCTCGCGAGGTCCGGTCTGTGAAGTGCGTCGGCTCGAGGAGGTGATGCACGAGGAGGTGACGCGCGACGCGCACGAGAGGTCGGCGCTCGGTTTCGTCGCGGCGGGACCGCAGCTTCCTCGCGCGGCGGCGCGTCGTCGATGCTGAATCGCGCGCGTACGACACGCGGTGGTGCGCCGGTGGTGTTGCTGCTGGTGGTGTGCTCCACGAGGCGGACTCTTTCATGACAGCTGGACGTTTGCGCCGCGAGGGTGACAGTGAGATCCTCGAGCTCAGTTGAGCTGGGAAGAGACGAGTCTCCCGCGGCCGTCGCCGGGAGTCGGAGGGTGCGCTACGCACCGTCGGTCACGTCCGACGAGGACTACTGCGCGCATCGGGTGGTGATCGGTAGTGATGCCGTGATGGGCTGCAGCTCGGGATCGTCCTTCCTGACCACGCTCCTCCTCGTGGCTGGATTACTGTCGATCGCGCTCTTCGCCGAGCTATCCTGCGCGACACGTGAGTAGCCTCATATTTGGGGAATTTGCGAATACTGACGTACATTTTATTCTAATTCCTAATTCATAGCCTACGGAGGAAGGGCGCAATTAACGTTTAGCAGCGCCAAGTTTTTTTTTAACAAACAATAATGTCGTGATTGGTGTCGTCGTTGGTGAATATTGAGACTCTATTTGATATTTGTTTGTAATCTCGGTGTAATAGAGAAAGGAAGTTTTAGAAAATAGTTTCTGGATTTCGTATCTAAGATTTGAGTCGAGAAAAATTGCCGCTTTAATCGATGTTTTGTCTCTCAAGACGAACTTCAGGTGAGTAACTTGTCCTCTTTGCAGCTGAATACAATTTCACAATCGGTTGATCTTTAATTAAAATGTAACTGTTGAACCGTCCGTGTCTCAAGCCATGAAACTCGAATCCGAGTATCTCACCTGATACACTCTTGAGAGTAATTGAGAAAAAATATAATACGGGCGTAAATTTGGAAAATAGAATGCAGATATGCGAAATTAATTTTCTTTCCTTAACGCTGCTTGCGAACGTTTGGAGCGCGTATGCGTTTGAGAGGTCGGAGCGTATTCGACTTACGGTCGTAAATTTCATAGTTCATTAACTGGCCGTGCGTTACACGATTTAATTGTTTCTGATTTTAATACATTTTAATCGGCGTGAAGAATGCGGGGGCGCAAATAATGCGAATATTAGTCGAATGCGAGTTCACGTATTTACGTACGAGAGTTTTCCTTTGAAATTCTTTATTAGGTCGTAGCGGGGGACAAATTTGCAATTTGTGAAAAGATCGCGTAATTTAATTGCGATTTCAATGCAGCAAAATTTTAACGATAGCATTGCCTCTATGTCGTTTATAAATGAAGGTACGCGTTAACTTGGCTTTTCGCCCGTTATTGCATTTTCTGCCTTTGTGAAACTCTATCGATATTATCATGTTAAGGGCAAGATGATCGTGTAATGAACGATAAATGCATAATTTGACTGCAGCGTCGACGTGAAAGATTTCAGTTATGCAGCTCAATAATGCATATACGCGCAATAAAGACTTGTAACGCGAATTAATCTAGAACACTTTATGCCGCTTTTGTCCGGCGCAAATTGTATGCTGTACGATAAAAATCTCAATGTGCGAGTGAAATTTGGTCTCCTTTTTTTTTTACAAATTTATGATAAAATTTATTGTTTAACGCCAAAAATGTAAATTACAGTAACATAACACATGGAAAATACCAAGTTCCGTTCTTTTTAATATAATATTTTTAATATACTCTCTTACAAATAAAGTAATAATGATAATAATGAACAAAAGAGAAAAATAGTGAAAATACCTGTTAAAAATGCAACGTACAAACGCGACTTTTGACGCTCAGTGATAACTGGCCACGTGTGTACGTTGGTTTAAAAAACATTCTCTATACATCGCTGAAAGCTTGAAAGAAAGACTTTCGCACAAATATCTCTGAAAGATTGACGTTTCCGCATACACGTTAAAACAAAAGGAGAAAACGCCATTTGAAATCTGTCCTCTCGGTTGAAAGCGACGCGCTCGAAATTATAGGTAGATTAGAGCGTAATATAAATTTTCCGCCCCTTTTTTTTTCTATGGTCCGCGCTCTTCCCTCTCGAAATACAATCGCGTAATTGCGGGCGATTAGCATTCCGCGCAAGGAGATCGCGCGGAGATTCCGTCGTATCCGGCCGAGGAAGCCTCTCATTAGACCGCGTACCGGAACTCGATGGGTCTAATTATTTTCCGAGTGCCTGCGAACTCGGAGAGATCCGCGTTTCGGGGGCGACTCGAATCGGGGTCACGCGCTTGCATCGATATCCCTGTCTCTCTCTGTCACTCCCTCGCTGGCTCGCTCGCTCTCGGTCGCTCGCGCACTCGCGCATCAGTTTCCCTTGTACGCCCTTAATGCTGGGCTCGCGCATGCACCCGACACGCGCGTGTACAGCCTGCGAACCTCCTTCGGCACAAGCAGCCGTTCCGCAAATAGATACGCGCGAGCATATTTCGCGAATCGTGCGTGGAGGTTGCTCGAGATAGTAAGAGGAGGCATGGACCCGTATCTGTAACTTGAAAGTAGAAAGGAACATTTACGCTCGACTTTATGAGTCGTGCGAAAACGTTTATGGCCCTCGTGCGATAAAAGTTGCTGTAAAAATTTATTCCGGCCTTCCCGTGCGCGACGCTATCGAAGAAAGTGCGCGCTTTCCGCGTCGTTATATACGTACACACTGATGAAAATATATTTTCCATTGTAAGAGAAGATTGAATTTACTATAGATTTAGATACACCCGCTCTCTCTTTACATCCGCTGGAAAAGCACGGGACGAGGTCGCGCGCATTTTTCGCCGTCGTAACGCGGCGTGGAAAAAATATAATATTATGCGTATAGAGATTTGGACGAGCACGGCCGTATTTAATCGGAATGTCAACACGATCGGAGCAATACGGAGCCACGCAAATTGTTTCCAATTTTTTTTTTGCGTTAAATCCGGCTGGCGTTTTGACAATTGTCGCGCGCCGGCTTTTTGAAAACGATTTAAAATTGTGAAAAAAAAAGCATCGGGAGAGCGAGAGCGTCGCGCGCGTCGACGAAATGGCCTGTTTAGTCGAGAGCGTACGCGGGCGCAACGTGAAAAGGCAGGAACGACGCAACGGGATATAATCTCCCCTTCCCTGCTGTGTGTCGGATAGTACTGGATTGTCAGGGGTTGTGTCCTCGGTGGATCATGGCGGATGAGGGAACGCGGGCCGCGGGGCCGCGGGGTAGGGGAACGATGGCTTCTCGCTCAAAGGATGCTGGAAGCGAATGGGATGCGGACGTCGTTGTCACGAGCAGGCGTGAGGTCGCTGATATTCCCTTGTCTTTTATTAAGGAGGGCTTCCTTTCTACGTTTGCGCCGCTCGTCCCTCCTTTCACACTCTCGTTGCTCTGTTTAGCGGCCGCGGCCGATGTTCTTTTTCCTACGCGCTTCTCTCCCGTCCGTCTCTCGTGCCGACGCCGCTGCCGCTGCAGCCGCCGCCGCCGCCGCCACCGCCGCCGCGACGCGCCCTTGCGAATAATGCTATAATTATTTCCCTGTCCCTTTTTCCCTCGCCTTTTTTTGCCCGCCTCTGTCTCTCCTCTTCGCCTAGGTTCATCTTCGTACTCTCCGCAAACGATTCTTTGCGGAGAGCCCGGCCGCCCCGCCATGTGTCGCTGGTTTTTTTCTCGTGGTCGTTAACGCGCAGCGAACCGTGCGATGAATGTTTAATTTCGGTTTTCTCGTGGCTCGCGAGAAATTGGTGTGCGCGCGCGCGCTCGTGCTTTTTTTTCCCCCGCGCGCTGGTATCGAAGCGCGGAAAGTTTTGGGTTTATTTAGCGGACGAATTTAAAAAGCTCGCACTAATGGCGCGTTTTTCTACGCGACGATTAATACTGTAAAAATGCAATCGAACGGGGCGAGCGCTGTAAACAAGGGGTATTTCTACAATCGGGCAGTATCGTGATTTATGGAGCGGCGAATACGTAACGTGTCAGTTTACTATTTAAAAGACCACCCCTCATTCAGGGACGTTTAACGTCTTCCAAAGCTATACCCGATTTCGACCGACGAGCGTCACTCGACGGTCAGAATTGTGCGTTATGAATATTAATTTTGATTTCCCCTACGACGGGCCGGGGACGCGATATCGTATTCCCGGGAATACTCGAAAAATACCGCTCGCTCCATATATGATGCAGGAACTTTGGGAAGATATCCGCAAACGACCTCGTTTCCTTCCACCACTTCTTCGGTTCTCCTCGGGAAAACTTTCTTACCCTTTTTCCCCGAGCCCGCGCGACCCCGCCGTCTCGAGTTCTCCGCATTTATTCCGGGCCTCCCTTTGAAATAGCGTATATATAATTATATACCGTACAGAGTATATAATTATATTTGTTTCAGCATGACGGCAACGCACTCCTGCGTTCTTCCCCGCCATTACGCGGGCATTACGTGCTCCAGCGAGACGCGTTTGACTTGGCGGAGCGGCACGGAGGTCTACATTTTGATCAAAAGCGCCGCTTTAAGAGTCCTAACGCCACCCTCGACGGGTACCGTTTATTTGTTTCTTTTTCCCCCATGTCGCGATATTGGCTTTTGTCGAGAGCGCGCCCGAGCGCTGTATCCGTATCTTAAACGTTACGCGCTCATCCGTTTCGCTTTGTTAGCTGTCCCGCGATCGCGCCGCTTTGTCCAATATTTTTCTTACCTCGCCGTTTCTCATTGTTAACGCGGCGCAAATAGACGCCGCGTAACGACGCGATCATTCCCGTTAAGACGATAACGAGATACGTCTGTATTCGCCCTTCGCGCCAGCGTTCTTTATTACTACCAACACGTCCGTCCGCGATCTCTTTACGCAACACCATATTTTCAGCCCTTATCTGCTCCCGCGGTCTCGTTTATAACGCTCGCCCCTGCATTCTTCCGAGCCACGGACACCTACACCTCCCCCGGCATCCCACCGTCTCATTTTCTTTATCGCGCTCTCCATTTCTCTCTCCCTCGCTGCCTTTTGGAGCGACGTCTTCACCCCGAGTCTGTAAACTATATTCCTATTTTCTCGAATCCCCCGCGCCTCTTGTAAATGCCCGTTAGTGCCGCGTACGTCGAGATTTCTCATGGCGCGGGACACGGATTCGCAGGTAGTATCCCAGATCGTCTCGCTTTCTGGGTCACTCTCCCCGCGCCCCTTTCCGCAAACGCCCGCAATAAAAGTTTGCGACTTCTTCGCAACGCGGGCACACCTGCGGTCGCCCTCTTGTCTCTCCTCGTGTGTGTTCTTCGCTTTACCCTCGTCCCATATCCGGCGAGATTGATAACGCATCTTTTTACAGATCGGCCGGCTTTTTGCCGCCCGCCGAGGCGCTTTCCGTCTCGCAAAAAAGCCCCGGCCCCTGTCGTCAGCGGCGCCGCGAAAATCCGTGTAAATGCGTCGTCGATAATCTAAATGACGCGA